TTTTATCTTTGAAATCATTTCCATGCATTTTCCCCCACGGAATTTTATATTTTTGTGCTTGAATGTGTTTTATTGATCACCTATCCAGTTTCTCTACCACTGTAATATGTATTCTTGTGAACATAAGGTTCTAAGTGTTAAGTCTCTTCTGGTTTGAGTTATTACAATTAATGTGTAATTGATTGAAATTGTAATAGCTATGATGCCTTGAGTAAAGGAGAGCCTTGCCAGAACCCTTTGTTTGGCACTGTAGATGTCTCAAAATTTTGAGCGATATACTCTTGTCAGAAATAGGATGGGATGAGAGAGCTACCCCCCCCCTTTTTTTTTTTAAGTGAGAGAAGGGCATTTGTGAAGGAGGTCATAAGTAGAAAGAGCATATAGCTTAGACTGCAGGTGAGTTCTCAGGCAGATTGTCTTGGGAAAGAGCACACAGGGAAGCTAAAGTTCTGAAAATTGATTCCCATAAAACTTACTTATGTACCTCTTGGAAAGTCGTTATTTATCCCACTTTGAAGGTAGTGAATTAAATATGTAAGTGAGAGCCCAGTTCATAAATAGGAGAATTTTATGTGTGTCTTAATATTCTCAGTACTTAAGTTCTTTATATAGAACATTTGTCCCATGATTTCCATCAGAATCCTTATTCTAAATGTCTTAAATCTAAGAAGAAGTGGATTTTTATTTTTGTACTTATTTTGAAATTTGCTATTGGTGTAAAAATCCTAGTTTATCAAAATTATACTTTTGTTTTTTTAGTTGTTGGTTTTCCCCAATGGTCTTATAAATGTACTTTACCAACTGCAGTTAAGATATCTAAAAGATTTCAAAAGGTTTAAACTTTGTTTCATACTTTTAAAAATTGTTTAATGATTTTGTTTTCAGAACTGTCATGCTACTATACAGTCTTTTAAAATGAGAGTAGCTTGCTTTTTTTTTTTTTTTAAAGATTTTATTTATTTATTTGACAGAGAGATAGAGAGCACAAGTAGGCAGAGTGGCAGGCAGAGGGAGAGGGAGAAGCAGGCTCTCCGCTGAGCAGGAAGCTGGATGTGGGGCTCCATCCCAGGACCCCAGGATCATGACCTGAGCCAAAGGCAGCCGCTTAACCAACTGAGCCACCCAGGCTCCCCGAGAGTAGCTTGCTTATCTAGGTTTTGGTTTGTTTTTTAATCTATTTGGAAGATAGGATATTTCTAAGGCTGGATTATTTTGTTGGTGACGCAAGCTTGATTTTCAGTATTATTTCTTTCCTTTTTTCAAAGATTTTATTTATTTATTTGTCAGAGAGAGAGAGTGTGCACAAGCAGGGAGAGTGGCAGGCAGAGGGAGAAGCAGGCTCCCTGCTAAGCAAGGAGCTGGATGTGGGACTCGATCCCAGGACCCTGGCATCATGACCTGATCCAGAGGCAGATGCTTAACTGACTGAGCCACCCAGGCATCCCTTCAGTATTATTCTGAGTATCAGACAGTTTTGAGATATAATGCTAAATATTGTTACATATAAAAGCAAAATAAATATTGAGTTTATGTCCTTTGGATATTTTTCTTCAGCTTTTATTTATTTATTTTTATTTTATTTTATTTTTTTAAAGATTTTATTTATTTGAGAGAGAGAGAATGAGAGAGAGCACATGAGAGGGGGGAGGGCCAGAGGGAGAAGCAGACTCCCTGCCAAGCAGGGAGCCCAATGCGGGACTCAATCCAGGGACTCCAGGATCATGACCTGAGCCGAGGGCAGTCGCTAAACCAACTGAGCCACCCAGGCGCCCCTTTCTTCAGCTTTTATAATGGAAAGGATAAAACTTCATTGGATGCAAAGCATCCTGAGGGGTACATTGTTTTTAATAATACAAGTTACTTTCTCCTTTTATAGGGGAGAAGTCAGGTCTGAGTTGTTAGAAAAACAAAAAAGTCATTTCAGCTATTCAATCTCATTTTCTTTTTTTTTTTTTTTAAGATTTTATTTATTTATTTGACAGAGAGAGACCGAGAGAGGGAACACAAGCAGGGGGAGTGGGAGAGGGAGAAGCAGGCTTCCCGCGGATCAGGGAGCTCCGTGCGGGGCTCGATCCCAGGACCCAGGGATCATGAGCCAAAGGCAAACACTTAACGACTGAGCCGCCCAGGGGCCCCATCCAGTCTCATTTTCAAGGGTTTGGTGAGAGAAGGCATCAACTGTTTGTGTTAGAGCCCCATGAGTTTTTATTCATTTGTGTTATTTGATAAGCTGACAGGAAGTCTTTTCAGAGTAGAGATAGAAGGGAACAAGAAAAAACTGCTTTCAATGAGCATATATTAGTAATAATAATGTTCAGGTAATACATACTGTATGCCAGGGTGGGGAGAAGAAGAGGGAGAGGGGGAGAGAGAATCCTCAAGCAGACTTCCCACTGAGTAGGAAGCCTGGCATGGGGGCTCAGTGTGGGGCCTGGATCCCAGGACCCTGAGATCATGACCTGAGCTGAAATCCATAGTCAGCTGCTTAACCGAGTGAGCCACCCAGGTACCCCTCATCATCCGTGTTTTTAAAGAATTAAACTGAGGCATGGGCAACATAAGTAAATTTCCCTAAGATGACAAAGCTGAGAAATGGCAGAGCTTGAATTCAAATTAGAGTCTGGCTCTATAATGGTTACACTCTTAACCATTATATTAAAATACCTCATTTCCTGTGAACATCAGTCATCTCCTGGGCCTAGTTGACACATACATGATTAAAAATGGTGGAGTTTAGTTCAAGGTTAGGAAAAGAACATTGTGGGGGTGCCTGGGTGGCTCAGTTAAGCATCTGCCTTCAGCTCAGGTCATGATTGTGGGGTCCTGGGATTGAGCCCCACTTGGGGCTCCCTGCTCATTGGGGAGTCTGCTTATCCCTCTCCCTGCCTCCCACTCATGTTCTCTCTTGCTGTCTCTCTCTGTCTCAAATAAATAAAATCTTAAAAAAAAAAAAAAGGAACATTGTGAAATGCCTAATTAGGCATTCTCTGCTACCAGACACAATTACTCTCCCAATTAGCCCCCCCACCCCCATATTAGAAGAGCTGTTAGTCCCCACAGCTTGGATGTCAGTTTTTGTCAGATCAAGCCCTTAATTGTAGTCCTAAGAATTTTTTGGGAAACTTAACTGTTATGCCTCATGGGGAAAAATACAAAAAAATAGTTCATATCTGTGTAAGAAGAGACATTTTGTGAAGGTATTTTAATTAAGATTTTCTATAATGCAAGAATCAGATGCAGGAAATATGTTTAAATATTAAGCCTGATATGCTCTTAAGACGTGAGACTTAATGGAAACCTTTCTTTGTTGCATTCCTTATTCTGTTAAGTAGGATTTAAATTATCTTATTGTTATAATCTATTGTGAAAAAGAATCAGTCCATGTTGAAGAATTGAAGTTTAGAATATGCACTAGAAATAGCAGTAGATAAAGATTTCTGACCAACTTGGATATGTCTGTTTTATCTCCTTTGAGTGGCTGCCAATTTTGCTTTTGTGTTTGTATTTTATGTGGTTAGAAATTTAATATGTATCTCGTTTTTGAAGTTTTTAAAAAACTTGGAATTTGTTTTCATTGAATATAAATTTTAGATAATGTACTTCTACTTTGCATTTTCTTAAATTCTCTGTTTTTTGTCCTCTTTATTAAAGAAAACGACAAAACGCAGTAGGTTTTGCTTTTAGATTCATTTTGTAAATATGATTTTTCTAATACTTTGGTACTGTTCTCTCATTTCTCTTTTCTCCATCCTTAATTTTTCCTTATAGTAAAACATAAAATTTTTAAAGCAATCTTAGCTTCATATTTTCACTAACAATATATCATTTTCTGTAATTTGTTGATTGAATATGCAGTAGTGATGTGTAATGATTCTCCAAAATTAAAAACTACTGAACTATATTAGATTATTCCTGGATAGATAACTTCTCTAGATTGAGATTATACTGGTAGTTCCTTTACCCCTGGAAGTGAATGTTCTTTATTCCAAATATCTTACAATCTTATGAATGATTACAGCTTAACCTCAGAATTCTGTTAATGTTTTATGTGAATAATTTTGGAATTCTTGCCATTTGTTGGTGGTAGCTATCAATACCTCATAAAAGTCAATTATGATATATTCATAGACAAGTCTTAAAGTAAGTAGGTGGCAACAATGCTTCATTTCTTGATAGTTTTAATTAACTTGAATGCACCTAGGAATTAGAAAGAAACCAGAAAAGACCACTGAGTAATTAAAAGACAGAACCCACGGGCATGTACTTGGCACTGGGACAGCTGTGTCAGGCTTTCATTCATTCTATCCCTAATGCAGTTTTAATAGAGCTTGATTTTTCTGACTTTTCAGATCATAACAGATTAGAAATAAGCAACAGTAATGGTGTGCTTCTACAATAGAGGTAGACTCTGATTACTTCAAGAAACAGCATTATTAACTTTTATATTTTTTGACTTTGTTTTCCTCTTACACAGAGCACATAATTTTATAAATATAAACTAATGAAATTAACGCTAAAAAGGAATAGTTGGCAGACTCACAAGGAATAAGATTAAATAAAAACCATAAAAAACAGATACAAGTATTTTTAAATGATGGTAATCTTGGCCCATTCAGAGATGAGGCAAAACAGAAATAACTTACCACCTGAGGTATTCTCTAGTTTTAAGTCAGAATTTTTAATGACTCCCAAATAATGTTAGAAGGTTAAATCAGGTTTATTTCCTGTCAAGAAATAGAGCTATATAGTGTCCTTAAGAAAGTCTTTCTTTTTAATTTAAAGGGGGTTAACTTCAGTCTTTGTGAAATTTTCTTCAATTTCATAAATGAAATACTTAGTATTTTAATGTAAATCTGTTTTCCTTCTCTGTTTCCTCGTACTTTGTTCCTTTGTTCTCTTGCAGGTACTGTACTAAAATAGAAATAAAGCTTACCTTGTTTATACTTACTTTAAATGTACATAAAATCCATCATATTTAAAGTAATGAATTTTTTCTCCAGGTGCTACAAAGTATACAGATAAAGACAATGGAGGAATGCTTGTGTGGTCTCCATATCACAGTATCCCAGATGCCAAATGTAAGTTTTCTGAAATTGAACGTTTATGTCAATAGAGATCTGTCAGCCAATTCAAAATGCAACTTACATATTTTTGGGGTCTCTTAGAGTCTCATAAGAAAACAGTTTGTCTTTGTTTGGTTTTGTTTTGTTTTGATGGAGGTTGTTATATTAGAATGTTTTTCCTTTTGAAAGATAGTGGGTTGATCATTCCAATTTGTGTCAGGCCCAGGAAGACTGAAAATACCTAGGATCTGATGGCATTGCTGCTTAAATCCTCAAGCAGGGGAGGGAGTTACTATGTAGACATCTGCACAGGCTTTTCCTCAGTATATGGAGCTGTAAAGAAATGCCTTCAAACTTCAAAGAGCCCACTATCATTACCATTTTAAAGAGGAAAGGGGAAAGAACTGACTTCAGCAGCCATCAATCAGGTCATCTTTGAGCTCTCCATTTCTGGACGGAGACCTTCTGGATCATTGACCATGCACTTCTTGAATCATGGTGTGGCTTTAGACTTCAATGTGATGTAGCGGACCTGATCCTTTGCGGCACATCAGATATAGGAAACGTGCAGGTAACAAAACTAAGATCCCCACCCCTCCATTCAGTTATCATTGAATTTGTTAAAGCAGACAAACAAAAAAATCACTGCACAGCTATTCTTGCAGCTGTAAAATAATTAAAAATATTTACTAAATCTTAAAGATGTCCCATAATGTTTTATTTAGTCCCATCAAAATTAATGATGTCCTATATATCATGTGCATAGTAAGTCTAAGCATACTTATTGATGCAATAAGAGAACTAAAAATTGAAAATTGAGTATTTTGCTGCATACCTGATAATTCTTCCTATTTGACAGTTTTGGAATACCAGCAAAAGGTCTCGCTGGTAATCTAGGAATTACATGCCCTTGAGGCATTCTTAACAGAAAACACAAAATTGCACATTTGGCCTGGGACTGTATACTGAGAAACCTGAAGGAGATTATCAGGTTTCTCTGGTTCAGTTCTCATTACAGCAAAGGTTTTCATTCATAAACTAAGCATCAGGGTATCACTGGCTTTTGCTGTCCTAGCACTGTTTTGTACAATGGTGCATTTCTTAACAAGGTGGAAAACAAAATTCAGAAAGCCAACATCTCCTGATTGTGTGGTGTCCACATAGAATATCCTAGACTGAAGATCTCGGGCAGTGGTTTTCAACCCTGGCTGTGCATTGGGATCACTTGGGGGAGCTTATTAAATAAGACAGTACTGATGTCTGGTCTTTATCTCAAACCAATTAAATCAGAATCTTTAGGGATGGAGTCTGGACTTTTTATTTTTTATTTTATTTATTTATTTTTAAAGATTTTATTTTTAAGTAATCTCTGTACCCCACATGGGGCTTGAACTCATGACCCCGAGATCAAGAGTTGTTCACTCTTCTGACGGAGCCATCCAGGTGCTCCTGAACTTACTTTTTAAAGGTTCCCCCACTGATTCTAATGCATAGCCAAGGTTGGAAACCACAGATTGACTGATGTTGTTTAGCCTTCTATTTATAGGACTGTAGGACATTTTTGTTAAAGTTAAAAAGCATATATTTAGACCTGTCTTGTGTTTAAGTGCTATGTATTTAAGTTCTAAACAAACTATAATATTTGGATTTTCTGCAAAAGTTTACAGTCTTAGGGAACTATAATAACATCCATAAAAAATAGCTGTTATTCTAATAGCATTATTGTTATAATATCATTTTTATATATTAAATTATCTTATATTGACTAGTAATAATAGCAAACTCATATAAAGTACCTAAAATGTGCCAAGTGTTATTCTAAACACTTGATATATATTAGCTCATTTAATCCTAGGAAGAAGGTACTGTTTTAAAGTGAGGAAAGTAAGGTACAGAAAGGAAGAGTTAATTGCCTCTAGTCAAAAAATTAGCAACAAGGATGAGAATCAAACCCTGGTAGACTAGCTGTTCTGGGATGAGAATTGTTAACCTCTGCTTCTCCAAATATGCTTAAAGAGAATTTTATAAATCATACACACACACACACTTCATATATATACTTAAAAAAGGATCAAACAGGAGTGACTATATGGATTTCACATAAAACAGTCCTGCTGTCTGAAATGGCAGACATCTCAGCAGTGAGGCCTTAAAATAGCTAGTACCTCATCATTGAAGCTATGCTTATCTAAGTAATTCTGTTGGCTTGATTACATATGGAGGATGAATGAAAATGGAATATTCAGACACCTTCTGTATAGCTTGCAGGAAGAGCTGAAGAAAATTTAGGGCTACCAAAGCATATTTAAACATGTCGTTATTACGTATAGCTGGCAAAACCATAGGTAAACCATCCTTTGCACAGCAGTCAGAAGTGGGAAGGTAAAGGCTTTGGGCCAACTCTTACTATGAGATGGGGTCTGAAACAGCTAAGTCCCTTCAAATAAAGACTGCCACAGAAAAATGAAGAAATTGTCTAATATTTTACACTGTAATTAGGTTCTGTTGGCTATATACAGATTGGTCTTTTTATATACAAAAATAATTATATAACATCATTGAATTTAATAAGTATATGCTGTATAATCTTAGAGATAAATCATACTAAGCAAAATTTTAGATCAAGGAAGCTTCTGATCCTGTTCATAGAAGTAAAAGTCTTTTTTTGTAACATTTCATAGAAAAAGACTTTTCCCTGAAATATAATATTTTTATTTTGCTTTGTTAAAAAAAAAAAGTAGATCTGAGCACATGAAGTAAATAAGAATAATTAATTATATAACATTGTTTCATTGCAGTGGATGAATATATTGCAATTGCAAAGGAGAAACATGGATACAATGTGGAACAGGTATGTAGAGAAACATTTTAATATTAAAGCTTGCCTCAGCATTTACCAAATCCAAAAAACATCTCCTTGTTGTTTCTATCCTAAGGAAGTGCAGTTCAACCAATTTTACAGATACCACAAAAGTCCTAGCAAACTCTGACCTTTCAAAATTATGGATTTTGCTTTTATAAACATTGTTCATCTCAAGGGCTTGAACATTTTCTCTCAACACCTCTGTTTCTTACTCTGCTTTGAGTTCTAAACGTATCTGAAAGCATTTATATTATTCTGGCAAATGCTTACCAAAAAAGGGAATTTTTTTTTTTTTTGAGTACAGGTAATTCTCTGTGATCTTTTAATCTGAAAGACCTAGAAGTTAAACTTTTTATTTAAAGAAATATTTAAGACTTTTCAGTTTTGAAGGAAATAATTTATGAAGGGCTGTTTTTTTAAATTTAATTTTTAATTTTTTAATTTATTTTTGGGGGGGCTTTTTTTATTAGATAACTTTAAAAGGAGATCTGCATGGGACATATGATTCATTATCCCTTGTAATGAGGGAATGAAGAACATGAAAAAATAAAAATGAAATAGAGATTCTTAAATCTATTTTCAACTAATTATTAAATCAACCTTCATCAAAATTAATAGTAAAATAAGTGAATTATCTGTAATCTGGATTATTAAGAGCTGACTTTATAGTCAGTACCATGGTTAAATAATACAAAGTCATTTCTAGAAATTGAGATGTTTATCTAAACATAGTTAACTTTTTTGTGATTTTTGAAGACTTTCTTTTGTTTTTAATTCTTGACTTTGTTTAATATTTGTTTGAGACGTTACTCCTTTAAAATGTGACTGCACATATTTTCATTTTTATGTTCATTTTAAAGGAGTATTACTAAAGTACAGAAATTAATTTTAAAACTTACTATTTAAAAAGTTGCTATATCTCTTCTTAAAAAGTGAAATTTGATACTCAGTACCTTATAGTAAAGATAAAGACCTATGAAAAAAAAAAAAGATAAAGACCTATGACTTACTTAACTATATAAGGGAAAGTGTGGAAGGTTAGAAATTACCCATTTTGGGCTTTCCTCTGATTTGGTAATAAAGTCATTGAAGTTATTAATATGCATCATAATAAATCTTTGCATTATGTTAATAAAGAACTTTAAAAATATATATGTGGTAAATATTATTAAGGTTGCAATTGAGGTACTCCTTGGAACTGTTCAGCCCATGGTATATACTCCTAAAATGTTAAAACCTAAATATTTTTCTACTATGTTTCAACTGAGCACTTCTAGTTTGGTATAGTTATGATTGATAGTTTTATTCAAGTATTTACTGGATATTTTTCCTTTTAGCATGTTTTTCTCTACACATTGACAAATGAGTAAATGTGGGCCAGTCTTGATACGAGTCTACACACCTGCTTTAGTAATTATAGTCACTCTCCTCAGCTCACTGTTTTTCCTAGATTATGCAGCAAATGTGGTATGTAAGAACATTCACTGTTCTGAGGCCCTGATTTAAAAGAAATAAATAAATGAGGTCTACTACCTGGGCATCCCTGATTAAAAGCTCTAAACTGTGAGTGTATTTTCAGTTGAAGTAATGGGCTTAAGATTTTAACCTAATTTGTGTTTAACTCTCTTAAGTGTGATGGAACATAAGTCCATTAAAACGAAAGGGGAATGATTTCTCTTCAAAGGCACTTGGCATGTTGTTCTGGCATAAACATAACATTGAGAAGTCCCTTGCTGATCTCCCTAATTTCACTCCCTTTCCGGATGAGTGGACAGTGGAAGATAAAGTCCTGTTTGAACAAGCCTTTAGTTTTCATGGGAAGAGCTTTCACAGGATTCAGCAAATGGTATGGTAATTTTGGTTTTACTGTAATTCATACCTGAAAGATATACAGTTATTAAACACTTCCTGATTATTAAATACAAAAAAGTTTTCAGTCTAATTTTAATATTTAAAAAATATTTGATACTTAAAATACCTATACATTTGTATGTACCCTATTTTCAATAACCACTCTACTGCATGACAGTTATGTGCTATTTCGTTGTAATTCTGTTTTGTTAGGACTTATATATGTATATTAAATGTGCTTGTTCTAGGAAAAAAATCATAATTTCAATTTTATTTTTAAATGATTCATTTTTTAACATTAGGATTGTATTTTCTACTTTATATTCCTTTGGATATGAAAATCAATTTTTAAAAATTCTGTATTTCAATATTGCACAGGCACTGTTGTTTTTAAGGAGAAAAACTATTTCTAGTTTTTAAATTTTTAGCGTTGTGTCAAAAGAATATAAACCTGAGAAGTTGCTACATTAGAATCTTTTAACCTGAACGGATGAAAATTAGATAATATTTGCAAATATATCTAAGTGTGTTCCATAATTGAAGAGAGCCTTTTTGATTGGGAGTATGTGTCCTTGTTTGCCAGTATGACAAATCAGTGCATGATGATTAGTCATTTTAATACCTAGAGACTTTATTTGGTAGCTAAAGTCTGATTATATTATTTATCATCTTAAAACCTGGATTTAAGACAAATGATTCAAAAAATTCATGGTCGAAAATTGAATAGCTTTTCTTGAAAACATGATGCTAAGTGACAAAAGCCAGGCATGAAAGGTCACATAGTGTATGATCTCATTTATATGAAATGTCCAGAATAGACAAATCCATAGAGATGGAAAGTAGATTACTTGTTGTCAGAGACTGGGTAAGGGAAGACCAGGGGATGACTACTAATGTTTCTTTTTGAAGTTATGAAAATGTCTGGAATTAAATAGTGATGGTTGCATAACTTAGTGAATATGCTAGAAACCACTGAATTGTACATTTTAAACTGGTGAATTTTCAGGTATGTTAATTATGTATCAGTTTTAAAATTTCAACTTACAGAGGTGGGAAGAAAAGAGTAACTCTTTAAGAAAAACAAACACTGAATGCTAACATTGTGCTGGGGACATCTGGGTGCATTGTTACCGTGTTTGTGAGTTTCTTGTCTCCCCTTCCCTCTTAGAACAAATAGGAATATTCATTCAGAAATGTCAGTGATATAGGTGTGGTGGGTTACTATGACTGTAACCGTACTTTCTAGTTCTGTAATTCATAAATGTACCCATGAAAATATTTTTCATCTATGCCTTTAAGTAGCAAAGAATAATATCAGAAATATTATTCATTTCTGTTAATCAGAGTTGATGAATTAAACTTGCGGATATTAACATGATTTTTTTTTTTTTCCAAGCTTCCAGATAAGACAATTGCTAGCCTTGTAAAATATTACTATTCCTGGAAAAAAACTCGATCCAGGACAAGCTTGATGGATCGCCAGGCTCGTAAACTAGCTAATAGACATAATCAGGGTGACAGGTAGGTTGGATGCCTTTATATGGTTATACTGTTAGGGACACTGTATTGGATTGCTTACATTTCCTAAGGTAGAAAAATTATCACAGCACATTGTAACTACTTCTTAACCTTACATTCATGTTTCGTCTCTGGCAGGAAGAGTTGAGTGATCAGAAATCTTAATAGTAAGGACTTTCTTTAACTCTTTAACTGTTAATCATAGCCAGCAAACACTACAACTGAGTTTATTTGAGCTGTGTTTAGCTGTACTTGCAAGTGCTTCCTTTTAGTATTGATATATTCAATATATATCCTTAGAATACATGAAGAAATACATTCTCTAGAAGATGCTCTTTCCATAATTGCCTGAATACAATTACCTGAGTAACTGAAGTCCACATTATTGTAGCTATATCTTTCTGGTGGTATAAAATCATTTTGCTTATTGGTGTTTGTCTTTAACCTCCAAGTGGAGAAATGAAATAATAAGTATTATATCAAACTAATATATGTGTTCTCTTTCCCAAATGATATTCTTTCTAAATTTCTTTCCTATTGCATCTCTGTTTTTTAGGTAGACATGTTTTCTAACTTGATTCTGTATACCCAAAAAGATAAATGTTTCTAAACACTACAAAAATGTAAATTACAGAAGGTCATCTTCCCAAGGACACCTCTTGTTTTGTTGGGGAATGTCTAGTGAAATTATTAGCAAGGTATATTGCAATTTGATAAGAGCCCTGGAATAGAATAAAAAGGGAATTAAGTTTACTAATCTTTGTTTCTTCTCAGTGATGATGATGTGGAAGAAACACACCCAATGGATGGAAATGATAGTGATTATGATCCAAAAAAAGAAGCCAAGAAAGAGGTAATGATTATCATTAGAGTACTTGTAATTGTTTTACAAATCCTTGCAAAAAAGAATGAATTGTCCTTCATGTTAAGAAAAACATTTTTATGGGACGCCTGGGTGGCTCAGTCAGTTAAGCATCTGCCTTCAGCTCAGGTCATGATCCCAGGGTCCTGGGATCGAGTCCCGCATCAGGCTCCCTGCTCCACAGGGAGCCTGCTTCTCCCTCTGCCTCTGTCTCTGTCTCTCTCTCTGTCTCTCATGAATAAATAAATAAAATCTTTAAAAAAAAAAAAAAAGGAAAACATTTTTATTTTATTTATTTATTTATTTATTTTTAATTTATCTGAGAGAGAGAATGGGAGACAGAGAGCATGAGAGGGGGAGGATCAGAGGGAGAAGCAGACTCCCTGCCCAGCAGGGAGCCCGATGCGGGACTCGATCCCGGGACTCCAGGATCATGACCTGAGCCGAAGGCAGTTGCTTAACCAACTGAGCCACCCAGGCGCCCAGGAAAACATTTTTATATCATGGTGTAGGAAGTAGTAAATTTCAATGTTAGAGGTTTTTTGGGAAAAAAAGTAATATCTAGAACTCCCAGTTAGCCAGTAGTTTAAATAATTGTTAGGTTATCTCATCCACTCAGAAGTATAAAAGCCCTGCCACAATCACTAGTCTTCAATCCAAAGAAAGAAAACCACCCTCAGATGATATAGTATGAGTATAATATAGTATAAAATTAAGCTTTCTGGTTTTATTACCCAATTTTTCTTAAAAACACTTGTTTGTTCCATATTGTAGCAAATTAGAAATTAGATCTTTCTCAACTTACGTTGGGGTTACATCCCAATAAACTCATCATAAACTGAAAATATTGTAAGTCAGAAATGCATTTAATATACCTAATTTAGCAAACATCATCACTTAGCCTAGCTTACCTTAAACGTGCTCCGAACATACATTAGCCTGTAGTTGGGCAAAATCATCTAACACAGAGCCTATTTTATAATACAGTGTTGAATATTTCATGTAATTGAACACTGTACTGAGAGTGAAACACGGAATGGTTGTAAATACACACAATGGTTGTCAGGGTATCGGTTGTTCTCGTGTTTGTGTGGCCGACTGGGAGCTGCGGCTCACTGCCACCGCCCAGCATCGTGAGAGAGCGTTTTACTGCATATCGCTAGCTTGGAAAAAGAAGAAAATTCAGAGTACAGTTTCTGTTGAATGCCTGTGGCTTTCACACCATCGTAAAGTTGAAAGATTGTAACTGGAACCATCATAAGTTGGGGATGATCTGTAGTAGCCAGGTACTGACAGCAGTGAAAATAAAAGCTGCCTCAAAGGAAGAGATGGAAGAATCCCCAACTAGAAAAGCACTCCTGTTCCTCAAAATGATGATAATAATGATGACTTCAGATCACTAGGAAAAGGCTAAATTGATATCCATACTCATTTACACAGACACAGACAAGGAATCACATAATTGTAAAAAATAGACCAAATATTGACGGGTAAAGGCTTGTGAGGTATAGACAGCTGTGGATTAGTGAAGATCAAAATTGGGAGACAACGTAACTTCATCCTATTTAATGACCTCCATTCCTCAGTGCCATTGGCCCATTCTGGCCCTTGTCATCTTAAACTCGATCAGTGACATTTTAAGGATCCTACTCTTACCTCAATTTGTTATTTTACTAATTTTCTTACTACTGCTAAATGTTCTCAAATTACTTGATTCCTTCATTTTTTCCCAAGTCTGCCTAGTTTCCCTCAGCCATAGACCCAGTGATCAACTACTTAAATTGCTCTTTTCCCAGTATCTTTAACTCCCCATTTCCCTATCCTCTGCCATACCTTCCCTAACCCTATGAACCCACAATGCTGGGTCTGTTGCTATTCTTGGTCTGAGAGGCACAGCAGGAGATAATGACACAATCATGTAAATTGTTGCCACTTAGAAAAAATGGTTTCAGATCTCAGTGCAGTCCTTATGCCTCTCAGTGTTTAACCTCTAAGCCTCAGTGTTTTCCCTTGGTAAAATGAAAACAATAGGATTGTTTGGGAATCAAAGAGATGATATGTACAGAAGCACTTCTTATGGCACGCAGTACATAGTAAATCTTGAATAAAAGGTGCTATTGTTTTATTCATTATTTGAGCAAGTATTTTGAACATGCATCCCTTTCTACACATCACCTACCATCTCTCCACTCCCCCCAAAAACTTGGCTGATAACTTCACAGAAAAAATATGAAGCAGGAACTCCCTTAAATTCCAACCCTCCTCTCTGACCTCTGTGCTACTCTACTACCTTTTTCATCTGAGCGTGTTAATACTGAGAACAGTAAAATTTCAAACATCTTATAGATCTATTAATATGAAATCTTATAGATCTATTAATATGAAATGATACTCTGGAACATTTACTGAATGAAGTCTGCCTGAATGCCTCTCTCTAACGTAACAAAGGTCCCTTCCCTTGTTTGATCCTATCTGTCCCTTCATGTCATGACTATGATTTTTCTCATCAGTTTTCCCTCTAATGCCATATTTTCAACCTTTTCATTGCAGCCCAAATTATGCTCATGTCTTCTGTGTAAAAGCGTAACTATCTCTCTACTAGTCTAGAAAAAACTCTGCTCCTTCCTACTACTTCTCTTTTGACTTTGCTTCAGTCAGGCTTCTCTGTCTTTTCACGTCACTGAAACAGCTGACGGAGGTCTACCTAACTGCCACATCCAGTGACTGATTGTTCATTGTATTCTGCTTATGCTTTCTATATCATTTCAAGTTACCCCTCCCTTCTTCCTGAAAATCTCTTCTTTGACTTACCGATTCTTTGATTCTCTGCCACCCCGCCCCAGTGGCCTATTTTATTTTTATTTCTCAGATTTTAGATAAATTTTAGTTAGCATACAATACAATATTGGTTTCAGGCGATTCTGTGATTCTTGTCTACTTTTTAATTTTTAAAAATTTTTTTAAAGATTTTATTTATTTGAGAGAGAGAACATGAACAGGGTTAGTGGCAGTGGGAGAAGCAGACTCCCCACTGAGCAGGGAACCCGATTTGGGGATCTGGGGGGTGATCCCAGGACTCCAGAATCATGACCTGAGCTAAAGGCAGACACTTAACTGACTGAGCCACCCAGGTGGCCTTTGTCTACTTTTTTAACTCTTGTGTCTCAATTTTAGTGACTTTTTTCTTTCTCTATTATTATTTTATACTATACTATTCTATACTTTCTCAATTCTGTTCATTTTATCATTTTTTTTTTAGTTTTTTTATTAACATATAATGTATTATTTGTTTTAGGGGTACACGTCTGTGCTTCATCAGTCTTCCACAATTCACAGGGCTCACCATAGCACATACCCTCTCCTATGTCTATCACCCTAATTTTTTCTCTCAAGTAACTGTAAATTTTGTCCTTTATGTTCTATGCAACTGCCTTACTTTTAGGTTTTCATCTTTTCTCTGAATTATTGGAATTTTCTGTCTTCCCTCCTGGCCTCTTGACTCTCCACACTACCCCTTCCAGTCTGTTCTTTAACCCTGTTGCCAAAGCAGTCTTTTTTTTTCCTAAAGATTTTATTTATTTGAGAGAGAGAGAGAGAGAGAGAGCACATGAGACCAAATTTACTGCTTGCAACCCTCCATGGCTTTGTCTGTAGGATTAGGATAAAACACAGAGCTCTCTAGTGAGGCATTCCCCACCCCAACCCACCCCACATATTTCAAATTACTAACAGTGTTTTTGAAAAGTCTTAGTTCCCTGGCTTTTTTCCTGTGGTTATGTCGGTTCTTTTTTTCTGGAATTGTCTTTCTTCCCAAATCTGCCTAGGAAATTCCTCATAACTTTGTAATATGTAATTTCTTTATGAAATCTCTCCTGTGCTTTATCTTGAATTGACCACCTTCTTATTTTTCTTTAAATCTATTAAAATACTCATTGGGGGTCCCCTGTTTTGCCTGCCTATCACTTCATGGTAAGCTCTTTAAGAGCAAGAATCTATCTACAGGGCCTGAAACAAAGTAAGCATTCAGTCAAATTTATTATAAGGAATGCAAATACACATTATAAACTTATTTACTGTACAAATATAAGAGATTAGGGATTTGAGTTATCTAGAGAACTTATGTATGTGTAATACTGTTCTATCCAACAATGTGAGATGATACATATGCATTTGGCCTTTTGTTTGCCTGTGATCTCATACTATTAGCATAAGGAAAATATAAGTTAAAAAATGTTAAAAGGAGGGCGCCTGGGTGGCTCAGTCGGTTAAGCATCTGCCTTCAGCTCAGGTTATGATCCCAGGGTCCTGGGATCAAGCCGCTGAGGCAGGCTCCCTGCTCAGCGGGGAGTCTGCTTCTCCCTCTGCGCCCCCCCCCAAATAAATAAATAAAATCTTGAAAAAAAAATGTTAAAAGGAATTTTCCAGGTTGTGGTTCAGGGCAGGTACTGTATGTCAGCAGCTTCATTTATTCCTCTGCTCTTTCACAAATGATAGGGACACAGGCAGGAATGATACTGTATTACTGCCTTTAACACAGATCTGCATACCTGCTTCTGCATGTTATTGACACACTATGTAGAAGGTTTTTTTACAAACTTTTAAAAATTGTGAACTATATATTATCATACAGTATATAGAGTTTAAAGAAGAGTAAAACAAACAACCGGCATCTCCCATCACTGAGCTTAAGAAACGAAAGTCCTGTGTGTATGTTTCCTTAATTGTACCCCTCTCCCTTCTCTCCAGAGAACCTCTATCCTGAAAAGGGAACCCTATCCTGAACTGTATCAGTTATTCACTTCCTTTTTTTAATAGTTTTATCACATACGTATGTATCTCTGACCAACCATCATTGAGTTTTGTCCACTTCAGACTTCTATTTAAATGGAATCATATGCGTCTTTCAGCTACTCGCATTTTGTTGTTGTTATCCAACATGTTTTTGCAGTTCATTTTCATCACGGTATTACAGTGTTCCATTGTATGCATAT